AAAAAAAAAGATATCCCGTGACACATAAGACAGGTTCCTTACACGTCGGATTTCATACCATAATGAACTCTCACTATAATTCCAAACGGGAATACTTTTTATTATCGTACGCGTATAAAAAATTCATAGCCGTAACTTGTTCAAGACCTGTACTTTGAAAAACGTTCTGTAGGAGACTTATACATGACAAAAACACTCATCAGAAAGTTCACATAGAGATATTTCTCTTCAGTTAACAGCTCCACTTTCTTGCTACTGCGACTGTACATTATATTTACTGTATGAGCTGAGAAGAATGAGAAAGAAACATGGCCCATGTTTTAGTAACTGCTTAGATTTCCGCCGTTTCAAAAACCGGATTATTTTTTACTTATAAGAGACATTTACGATATGATTGGCCTATATTGAAATGTTCTCAGCGATTAAGTATACCCATGTTTAAATACGTTTGTCTAATTTATATATAATAGAGAAATAATCAACAACTTGGCTTATGCTGGTACGTGAGGAAACTGCAGATGTGTGAAATGATCACTCGTTTCTACATCACCAGTATGTCATCTCAATACGGGAGTTAGTTATAGGAAGATATTCTCTTTGACCTTTGTTTCTTTCTGAAGTTTACGTTGAATTTAATTTCTAACAGAAGTAAATTACTATAGGAGAAACATTAAAATGTTTAATGTTCTACACGACACGTGGTGTAACTCAAAACCGACGCCCAGAAATTTCTTGAAAACGAAAACCGTATCCCAAAGCTTCTGTAAATGTGAATCAATGGATGTAAGAGTTCATGGCTGTCCTAATAAAAATCATGGGAGGAACACTTGCTACCGTTATAACTGATGAAACCAGGAGCTTAATCTGTGGCTTTATTCATTATGATGATGATACGGCTTGAAACTTAAGCAGACTGCTCAAATTGAAATATTACATTTCCTTACAATTTTCGTTTAGTGTCTATCACGTGCATATTTTAGATGATATTTTATAGAACGATATTTATTACTAAGCAGTGATAAGCACACCGAGCACTACAGGCACTTCCCCCCCAAATTCGTTCTTGCTCTTGTACGACACTAATAAAAACACGTCATATTCTGGGATAAATATTTCTTGCGTCATCTCAAGTTAAATGGTTATCGGAGATAGTACGTGTACTCGTACTTACTCGGCGTGTCCTTGAAAGCAATTTGAGAAGCGCACTGATCGACACCACAGCCAGGGTTACTGAAATTTATATTTATGTCGGCAGATGTATTTCAAAGTAATTGCAATAGAAAATTCACACAATTTTCTTCTCCTATATTCACTTCTAAACTCCTTTCCTTCTTCAGATAAACAGATTAACTCCCATCTACACAAAATGACTACAGTAAATGATCTATCATAAACTGTTTGATGATTCATTTTACCACCAATTTCTGTTACGCCATAGGCATTACTGTGAATCATCCAAAATGAAATTAGTGTTACGACTACTACTGTACACGAATAGCATGAGTAATACGTAAGGCCGTGGCTGCAGGAGAAGCAGACAACCGCTGCATTACGGCCACTTAGACGGTCCTCTTGCTTGGGGAGGGGCGGATAATAGTTATAACGCGAAGGTGAGTTAAACATAACAGGAGGCGACGTAATGACTTAGAGAGCTGAACAGCGTAAATCTTATCCGATGTATTGAGTTACAAACGCTTTACTGCAAGAAAACTGCTTGTCCAACGGTAAGGTAGGTAAAGTTACCCCTGTGCTTAATTTATTGAGCACCACGCCATGCCGACTTATGGGAAAGTGCAGGCGCAGCTCCCCCCTTCTTGACCTCAGCACTGAATGCAGGTCAGTAGACCGCTTCAAGCCCTAGCCGCTTTATCCAATGACAAAGAGCCCCGTGAGAACCATTCTAAAGGAGGTTGAGTGTGTCCCAGAGCTGCTCTGGACTCTGAGGACATTCAAATCTCTTGACCCTGCTGGGAAATGAACCCCGGCTGTCCAGGCCGTAGCTCTTCTTTATACAGACTGAGCTCTCCCGACTACCTATCCAGTGGTATGGAACTGATAAGTGGCATGTAAAGCAATGAGGGAGAATATGACGTATCTGAGATAAAGCACAGCGAATATCGGATTTGTTTCTGGGCCATGTCC